CTTATCTCCCTCCGTAAGCTTGGCAAGGCTGGGGTGAACACCAACACAGATGGGGCTCGCACTTGTAAGGGGAAGCTGGGCAATCGGGTGCTTTGGGATCTGCACGAGAGCAAGGACGTGTACAGATCTATGTGGCAGCTGCCGGCGCTGGCGTGGCACGGTGGGGGGCAGGCTGGAGAGGGGTCTGCATCCCAGGGGGAGTGCAACGCCGTTGGAGGGGTTGGTGTGAAAGTGTCGGCCAGATCTGGGGAGACAGATTGGGCAACTGCACACCGACGTTTGGGGCATGTGGCAATGCCTTTGCTGAAGCAGCTGGAGAAGGATGGAGCCGTTAAGGGCTTGAAGCTGAACGGACAACCACCCGATGATAACTGTGAAATTTGCCTCCTTTCAAACTTCACCCGTTTCCCCTTCCATAGTGTGGCTGGCAGGAGCAAAAAGCCGTTGGAGCTGGTCCACATGGACTTGGTGGGGCCGCTGCCGGTGCAAGGGCACAAGGGGGAGCGGTAATTCCTAGCCATAGTGGATGACTGGAGCAGGCTAATGTGGGCGTATCCGCTGAAGCAGAAAGATCACGCCGCCTCCACGATTCGGGACGATTGGCTGCCGTTCGTGGAGAAGCAAGCGGAGTGTGTGGTGAAGCGGATTAGGACAGATCGGGGTGGTGAGTTCCTTGGAGCTGAGATGACGGCCTGGCTCAAGAAGCAGGGCATCCAGAGGGAGCTGACCACGGCTTACACCCCACAGTCCAACGGTGTAGCAGAACGGGCGAACCGGACAATTCTGGAGACAGCTAGGGCGCTGCTCATAGAATCTGGGCTGGGCAACTTGATGTGGCCCCATGCTGTTCGGCACGCTACCGTCGCTAGGAACAGGGTACTCACAAAGGTTGGGGATGACTCGTGGGTGCCGTTGGAGAGGTGGCTTGGGAGGAAGCCGCCGGTGGACATGCTGAGGGTGTTCGGTTGCCCACGTCCCCAAGACCTACCGCAGTAAGTTGGAGGCGAGTGCAATCTGGTGTGTGCATTTGGGGCTGGCTGCTGAGAGCAAGGGATGGCTGCTGTGGGAGCCTTCCAAGGGTGTGTTGTTTGACAGCAGAGATGTGAAGTTTGTTGAGGGCATGATGTATGGGAGCTGGGAGAAACAGCCGGAGACCAGGGTGTCCCAGCAGATGGAGCAGATCACCATGCAGCTGGACCTGACTCCTAGTGTGTGGGAGGAGGGAGAGGAGGCAGCTGCAGAGGGTGGTGATGGAAAGAAGGTACAGGAGGCACCTGCTGGTGGAGAAAATGATGGTGTGGAGACTAGCGGTAGCACTAGTGGAGCTGCTGGATCCGAGGGAGGAGAGCAGCAGCAGGGGAAAACTAAAAAGCCGAAGGGTGTCGTTATGAAGGGATGGGAGACACCCGTCTCCAGGCCTGGACGTACCCGTATGGCTACTAAGAAGCTGACTGCAGGAGCTGATGTAACGGAGCAGCAGCTTGGGACTGAGGAGGCATTGCTGATTCTACCGCATGGCTATGACCCGGATGAGGAGGATAAACCTGCGTACTGTTTTCTTGCCCCTGCACCAGAGGAACCAGCTAGCATGGAGGAGGCATTAGCTGGACCAGATAGGGACAAATGGCTAGCTTCTAGGGATGCTGAGTACCAGAGCCTGCTGGAGAATGGGACTTGGGAACTAGTGGTGCTGCCTGAGGGAAAGAAAGCCGTACAATGCAAGTGGGTGCTAAGGATCAAGACTGACGACAAGGGGCAGGTCACCATCTACAAGAGTAGGTTGGTGGCTAAGGGATTTATGCAGAAGGAGAAGCGGGACTTCAATGAGATCTTTGCTCCCACTGCCAAACCCCCTACCCTTCGTATCTTGTTGGCAGATGCAGCCGTTAGTGGGAAGTTCATTATCCAGATGGACATATCAACGGCATTCCTCAACGGGATTTTAGAGGAGGAGGTGTTCATGACGCAGCCACCTGGGTATGAGGATGGTACGGGCAGGGTGTGCAAGCTGAAAAAGTCCATCTACGGCTTGAAGCAGGCGCCACGCTGCTGGTACCAGAAGTTGGCAGCTGTTTTAGAGGAGATGGGATTCAGGACCAGCAGCTGTGATGAGAGCCTCTTTCTCAAGGGGGAGGGGGAGAAGCTGGTGCTGTTTCTGGTCAATGTGGACAACATTCTTCTCTTTAGCAGCAGCATGAAGGAGATCCAGAAGGTGCAGCAGCAGCTGATGGAGAACTTCAAGTGCAAGAACCTTGGGGAGGTAAAGTACTACCTCGGGATGCACGTGGAGAGGGATCTGGATCACAGGTGGTTGAAGCTGCACCAGGAGAAGTTCATCAAGGAGCTTGGGGAGAAGTACGGAATTGAGAATGAGCGCAAGGTTGCAACTCCCCTGCCAGCAGAATTCAAGCTTGTGAAAGCTGCAGAGGATGAAGGGGTTGAAGCCGAGGAGCAGCAGCAATTTCAGTCCTTGGTGGGCAGCCTCTTGTATGCAGCAGTTCACACGAGACCCGACATCTCTTTCTCGGTTGGGCAGCTGGCTAGGGTGGTGCAGAATCCATCAGAGGAGCAGGTGGATGCAGCTGAGCGTGTGGTGAAGTATCTGAACTCTCACCCAAGCATTGGAGTTCAATACTCCGCATCTGCACAGGTGAAGCAGAAAGGGGTTGAAGTGCTGAAAGATAAGGGGGAGAGGCTTGGAGAAGGCAAGCTCTTTCTCACTTGCTTTACCGATGCTACGTGGGCCTCTGAGAAGGAGGATTCATCATCAGTGGGAGGATACATCTGCGTAGTTGGGGGAGGACCGGTTAGTTGGAGGTCAAAGAAGCAGACGGAGACAGCACTCTCTTCCGTGGAGTCAGAGTACATGGCAATGTTTCATGGGGTGAAGGAGGTGATTTGGCTGAGGAGGCTGTTGGAGGAGATTGGCCAGGAGCAAAAGGTTGCTACGCCGCTGTTTTGTGATAGCAAGGGAGCTCTTGGGATGGCCAGGAACGCTGTGCTTCATGGGCTCAATAAGCACATGCGTATCAAGTGGCACTGGCTGCGTAAGGAGGTGAAGAGGGGGACGGTGAATCCGATCTACATCAAGACTCACCAGCAGCCAGCAGACTTCCTCACCAAGAGGCTTGCGGATGAGCCTCATTGGCGTTGTGTGCGCATGAGTGGAATGAGCATGAACTAGTATGGAATGATGGGGATGCAGCCGGCAGGCAGAGGGGGAGTGTGTTGGGTGCAAATTCACATTGCACGACATCCTGCCGTCTGTTTGTACGAGTATGCGTGTATAAATGCATTCCTTCCCTCTCATGGTTCTCTTGGAGTCCCCAACTTCAACCTTTCTATGCCTACATGCTTGTACTTCCTCCACCATTCTAGACTGTTGGTGTAAGGGCCTAATAAACTCAAGCTATTAAGACTTTATCACACTTAAAAACCTCTCCTCGGGGTCACCTCCAAGGGTCCTTGGGTGCCTGGTACAAGACCAGCCCCTATCCTCGGGTCCGAGTTTGTAGAAATAGGGATCAAGAGGGACTTAGTCAAAACAGCAAGAGTACCTTGAACGTCGCGCAGCGTATCGTGCAGACCGTAGATCGGATTAAGCTGAGAATATAATATATCGAAGCTCACTCTAAGAGCTTTAACATAAGCCAAGTTGCCTTGCGAAAAGTTTTGCCATTACGAAGTTATGGCTCGGACAGCGTTAGCCTAGCGTTGGAGTGCTAGCGTACTAGCGTTGACTCGGGTAGCATTCCGCCGTCGCACCGCGTAGAAACGAAATTCCAGGAAGGGAGGAATTCGCTTGAATCAATTTCACTATATTCCAGCGAATAATTCCAAGCAACAGAACCAACCTGGCTGGACAAAATAGCAGGTGGTAGGTTGGTGAACAACCTCTGGTTCTGTTTTTCCAACCTGGGAAAACAACCAGGTTCAGGTCCAAAAAACAGAACCTGTTTTGTCTTTGCCCAACCAGCCAAATGCTGGTTCCGCTGGTTTCCCCTGGCCCTGTAGCATGCAGATACAGACAAACAACATCCAACCTTCACCTAAATTGTACCCCTATAGTGCCTGCCCTGCTACACTATAGTCAACCAAACAAAACAGTACAATTTCGAGTTGGATAGAACTGAATCTGCGCAATCAAGTAAGCCGAACCACAAAGCTTCCATCTTGGGTTCCTTTGCGAGCTCGTCCTTTCTGCTTGTACTGTTCATAGCGCGTACAATGTTATGCCGAAGCGCACATTGTGCGAGTACCTGCAAATGCTTCAAGCGAAAATTGCGAAAGCAAACAAACACACGAACATACCATTCACACGCAAATGCATTCGCACACGCATACTCGTACAAACAGACGGCAGGATGTTGTGCAATGTGAATTTGCACCGACACTCTAAGGGAGGAGGAGGACCAGGAGAAGGCTGGAGATTAAGAACTTGCTGAAGGAGCGGAACGAAGTACGGCCGAGGCCGCGCAGCAACTCTAGACACAGCAGGGACTGCACCAGTATCCCCAGCGGCAGCACCAGTGCCAGCAGCACTTCCAGCTCCCGTACCTTTAGCAGCACCAGCAGCACCCGCAACAGGACCGCCTCCAGGACTGAAAGCAGTAGCCTCAGCGCCAACACCCTCACCAGCTCCAGCTCCAGGCGTACCCGTAGGCCTAGCAGCTCCACTACTCGCGACACGAGCACCTCCGGGACCCGCGGCACCACCACCCTCAGCAGCCAAAGAACCTCCAGCTCCAGCAGCACGCCTCCAGCGCCGGGAAAACCACTCGCGCAGCTCTTGTGGAGAGAGTGGCTCCCGGTGGGACGAAGTACCCGGTGAACCTCCAGGCCCAGCACCGCAAGACGCCACACGAGTAGGCCCAGCTCCCTCAGGCTCCGCACCCCCAGGCGTAGCAGCCCTAGGCTCAGCACCCCCAGGCTCAGCACCCCTAGTCGCCACACCCCGAGGCTCAGCACCTCCAGGCTCAGCACCCCCAGTAGTAGCACCCTCAATCTCAGCACACCCAGGCGTAGCACCCACACGCTCAGCACCCGAGTCACCAGTAACCTCGACAAGCTCGACTGCGTCTATTTGGGACACACCTGACGGGGCAGGACCCTGAGGGGGGAGGGGGTCTACCGGGGGGGGACCTGGTACCAGAAAGAGCGGTGGCGAGGGGAGGGATGGAGTGCGGTAGGGGAAGAGGCGGTAGTAGGGGACCGACTCGTTAAACGTGACATCCTGGGAGGACAGAACACGGCGAGAGGTGGGGTGGTAGAACTGCCACCCTGGTGCGTCAGGGGGGAAGCCAAGGAAGACGCAAGGAACAGCACGAGGGGACAGCTTGTCCGCACACAAGTCGCGAACAAACGCCCGAGATCCCCAGACACGGAACGCCGACGCATCGGCAACCTTACCCATCCACAGCAGAGCTGGGGAGGTCTCCAGCCTGGAGACCCTGGGTTAAAGGTTGATCTAATGCGCCGCGTACCGAACCACAAATGGCCACAGAAAATGGGGGGCAGCCGCATGCATCATGGACGTACGAGCGACGTCCATGACCATGCCAATGCGGTGCTCAGCAATCCCATTTTGCTGAGGAGAATTCGGAAGTGTGAAGGTCTGGCGGATGCCTCGTGCACGACAGTAGGCTCGCAGAAGGCCAAAGGAGAACTCTCCGCCTCGGTCAGAGTGAAGACGCAGAACAGGAAAGTCCGAACCGAAGCTCTGCCTGAGCTGGAGACGAGCTGCACGGATTCAGTCGATCAACACCTCAGTGACATCATCCTTGCTGCGCAAGGGGAAGACTGTGGTGTAATGCGAGTAGTCGTCAACCACCAGCAGGAAGTAGCGCTCGTAACCCTGTCCACGGACGCGGGACGGGCCCCACATGTCCATGTGGAGCGTCTGCAGCGGGGCCTCTGTCGGAGGAAACTGGGAGGAGTGAGGGGCAGCCCGCTGCCGCCCCTCGACAAAAGGGACGCAGGTAGGGCCAGGACGAGGAGGAAGTGGAGGGAGGGACCGGGAAAGACCAGAGACAAGGACACGAGAGGCCATGCCTCGGAGACGAAGCAGGGAGGGGTGACCAAGGCGGTGGTGCCAGAGGAGAGTCTCGTGAGACAGGAGGCGACACGAGCAGGGGGCAGAGTCAGGACCAGACCTGGACACCGCTGCAAATTCCTGACCCGACGCGGCTACCTGACCAGATGCAGTGACCGGAGGAGGCGTAGTGGTCAGTGTGTACAGGCTCGACCCCGGCCGACGTGTAAACGTGGCCAGGTGGCGGCATGTGTGAGCGTCCGTGTGGTGGGTCACCCGCTGACTCGCAGGAGTGACTTGTGAACCCCCGCATCCTGTAGGTCAGCAGCACTCACCACGTTCGTAGAGAACGAGGGGAGGTAAAGACCAGACAGGGTGCCAGAGGGGGCCACCGGACACTGGAGGACAGTCGAGTAGTGAGCAAGGACAGGACCCCCAGAGGGGTCTGCCAAGGAGACTGCAACAGGCCGGCCAAGCGGTGTGAGCGTGGTGCGGTCTCGAAAGAAGGAGTGAGAAGCCCCCGGGTCAAGGGTGAAGGTGTGGGATGCCAAAGCCGACGCCGTACTTGAGAGAGCAGACGCACCAGCACCTGAGGGAGCAGACGCACAGGCACCTAGAGCGGCAGCCTCGCTAGCACCTAGAGCAGCAACCTCACCAGTACCTGGAGCAGCACTCTCAATGCCCGGGTTGGGCGGAAAACACCGGTAACAGTCTCCCTCATCATCAATAGACACAACATAGATGGCAGCAAGAATAGCATCAAAGTCAAGGTCAAAGATAGCTACTCCCGCCCTAGACAGCTCACCCCAACGGGGGATCTCAGTGGCCTCCGGGAACTGGTGACGCCAAGTGTCCGTCAGGCGGCCAAAGCAGCGCTGGGTGGGGTGCGCACCCTCACACTGCTCACCCGCGCGGTCGCTTGTGCGGAGGACGTAGGTGCACGGACCTGTACCCCCACCCCGCTGGCGTGCAGCGTACCACTTACGGAGCTGCTGAGGTGGGGGAGTGTCAGGAGTGCGGTGCTGCTGCTGCTGCTGGCGCTGACCTCCACCTGAGCCGACCGTCTGTGCAGCACCACCCCGACCAGCTCCGCCTCCACCGCCGCCGCCTCCTCCTCCGCCGCCGCTACCACCGCTACCACCTCCGCCACCTCCGCTCCCACCGCCACCGCCGCCACCGCCTCCGCCTCCACTGCCGCCACTGACACCTCCACCCCCGCCACCACCCCCACTGCCACCCCCACCCCCTCCTCCGCCTCCACCGCCTCCTCCACCGCCCCCGCTAGCACCCCCAGCGCCCCTGCCCCCCTTGCCCTTGCCAGGGCGGTGTCTCCCGCTAGGGGTAGACGCCGCACCGACCGACTCAAGCCCAACGAGGTCGGCCGCAGCAGCAGAGGCAACAGAGGGCAAAAGGGGGGAGGGGGAGCACCCCTCAAAGATGGGGGTGCGAGGGTCACCACGAGAGGCTCCTACAGCGACTATGCTCTTCTCTGCTGCTAGGAGGGCCTTCTCGAGGAGGTCAACGATGAGAGTGGTGGGGCAAACCGAGAGGAAGTGGTCCCTGACTACGCGCAGAGAGTTAGGGAGGCGGGTGACTATGTAGTAGAGGGTGATGTACATGGGGGGGGGGTTCTTGGCGCAGAACTCAGCGGGAAGTGCAGCGCGGTAGCGAGTGTCACTAGTGCGGAGGTGCGTAATGAGGTCAGAGACTGTGGGAAAGGCAGCAAGGTCAGGGAAGAGGTACGGTAGCATGAGGCGGCTTAGTGCAGCAGTGGCAGGGGAAGAGTAGCGCGCAACTACAGCGTCATACAAGGTCTGAGCACTCTTCTAGTGACTAACGTGTGCGTGCTCAGTGGTAGGCAGGTGGCGACGCACAGCAAGACGTGCAGCAGCGTCGCGAGTGGCCCACTATAAGCGAACAGTGGCGTCGGCATCGGCAGCAGGGGCAGGAGAGGCAAGAGGGAGAGACCGTCTGCCCTATCGCACTGTAGGAAAAGCTGCAAGTCATCTACCCAGACGTCAAAGTCAATGGCCCGACCCTCAGCGTCAAAAGTGAGAACACTGGGGGTAGCTATGACAGCAGTGGACTAGCAGCGCTAACTGTAGAGGAGGGGCAGTGCAGTGACAGAGGCACTGCTCTTACCAGACAGGGCGGTTCGGGCAGCTCGGCAGCACAGCAGCTTGGCAACACGGTGGCTCGGGCGACTCGGGTGGCTCGGCAGCAACTGCGGCTCGGCGGCACCCGCGGCTCGGCTCCTCGGCTACTCGGGCCGCTCGGGCGGCTCGGGCAGAATGGGCGGCTCGGGCGGCTCACCGGCGAGGGCGGCTCGGCTGCGTAGGCGGCTCGAGCGGTAGGGGACGGGGCTGGAACCGTAGGTAGTGCGAAGGTGCCGTAGGTAGGGCGGCGGGGCCGCTGGTAGGGCGGCGGGGCCGCAGGTAGGGCGGCGGGGCCGCAAGTAGGGCGGCGGGGCCGCAGGTAGGGCGGCGGGGCCACAGGTAGGGCGGCGGGACCGCAGGTAGGGCGGCGGGGCCGCTGGTAGGGCTGCGGAGCCGGGGCCGTAGGTAGGGCGGCGAGGTCGGGATCGCAGGTAGGGCGACGGGGCTGGGGCCGCGGTAGGGCGACGGGGCGGGGCCGTAGGTAGGGCGACGGGGCCGGGCCATAGGTAGGGCGACGGGGCCGGTACGCAGGTAGGGCGACGGGGCCGGGGCGCAGGTAGGGCGACGGGGCCGGGGCCGGGGCGCAGGCAGGGCGACGGGGCCGTGGCCGGGGCTGCAGGTATGGCAACAGGGCCGGGGCTGCAGGTGGGGCGACGGGGCCGGGGTCGCAAGTAGGGCGACGGGGCCGGGGCGTAGGTAGGGCGACGGGGCCGGGGCCGGGGCGCAGGTAGGGCGACGGGGCCGGGGCCGGGGCGCAGGTAGGGCGACGGGGTCGCTAGGGCGACGAATCAGGGGCCGCTAAGGCGGCGCGACGTAGTCGCTAGGGCGGCTCGACGAAGTCAGAGAGGGGAGCGCGACTTGGGCTGAGCGCGCTCCAGGCAGGAAAAAAAAACTTTCGACTTGGTGGGCCCTAGGCACAGTTCCGACGAGGGAACCTGCTCTGATACCATGAGAAAACTGAAACAAGAATGAATGCACTAAGGAATGGAATGTGGTACAAATATGCAACCCTAGAAATGTGTACCCCATATAGGCTACCCCACTACAGCCTACACAACATTATAATTTGACAAGATGAGCAGACGAACGCGAACCACGTTTACGCCAATGACGGGCACAGCTACGCCATGCCAGACGAAGGTGCCGCGGCTATCATAGAGCTAGATTCCAGAGGAGAGTTCATGAGAGGCGATCGTCGCGACGTCGACGATGATTCAAGAGAAGGAGGAGCAGGCGCAGCAGGAGGTGCAATAGGAGGAAGTGGAAGCGGCAGAGGCGCAGCACCACCAGCCCCGCCGGAACCAGAAAGCGATGATGACGACGTGCAGGAAGTCCTCACGCAGTATCGCTACGATAGCATCGTCACCGGTATTCAGCTTCTCGGACTTCACACCGCCATTACAATGGCGCCACGAATCATCGAACCAAAGAACCCACACCAAGCTCTCACAGGTCCACACAGCAAGGAGTGGCGCGAAGCAATGGATGCGAAAATTAATGTGCTTAAGTGCCGTGACACCTGGGTGCTCGTTGACCAAACGGCGATCAAGGGGAGAAGGATTCTGTCTAGGAAATGGGTCTTCCGCGTGAAGAGCGCAGCTGACGGGATGATCGACTGGTTCAAGGCGCGCAAGGTAGTGTGCAGCTACGATCAGAGGCACGGCATTGACTTCGATCAGACATTCGCACTAGTCAGCCGCCATAAATCCATCAGGATTCTGGTCGCCATCGTTGCCGCACGACACCTACCGCTCCGACAAATTGATGTGAAGAACGCGTTCCTGTATGCGTTAGTAGATGCAGTGATCTACGTGGAGCAGCCGGACACATACAGCGAAGGGGATTCGCGTGTTTGCCAGCTGCAAAAATCCCTTGCTTGAGGGATTAAGCACCGAGGCTCTGGCAGCAGTACCTGTACAACATCTTGCTTGAAATCGGATTCAAGCAGCTACCTCACGACCCGGGGATGTATCGCCGCGACTTTCGCGGCGAATACATCTTTCTTACGGCTCTATGGCGACGACCTCCTCTACACAGGGTCAAGCCCTGAATTACTCAAGCAGTTCGAGAAAAACCTTGCAAGGTGCGTCGACATTACCTGCAACCGCGATGTGAAGCATTTCCTTGGTCTCAATATCACCTATTCTCCAGAAGCCATTCATCTCCCAGCAGTCAAGTACGCAGAAGAACTTGGCAAGCGATTCAACATTGCACCAGCACCGCTCTCTACCCTTTACCGCACTCCAAGACCCAACCACAAGCCTGACAACAAAGTCCTATCCCCAACTGGGCTTCAGACTTACAAGCAACACTTGGGATGCCTGCTCTTTGCCCCAGTCACCTGCAAGCCAGATCTATCATACATCGCAAGTCAGCTGGCCCAGTACTCACGCAAACCAACGGCTGAGAATCTCTCAGATCTTCAGCAAGCACTTCAATTCTTCATCTTCATGCCCAATGTTGGGCTCTGCTACTCCACCATCCCAACTGCATCCTTCAGCCTCATCGGCTACGTGGACGCTAACCATGCCGCCGATCCCGACAATCGACGGTCCAGGACAGGCTTCCTCTTCCGCCTCAAACCCAGTGGCCCCATCTCCTGGAAATCACAGAAGCAGGAGCTGGTTGCCCTGTCATCGGCAAAAGCGGAGTTCATCGCAGCAACAACAGCTGTTCGCGAAGGGCTCTACCTCCAGGAGCTATTGCAAGAGACAAAAATTCCAGCCTTGGCAAATTTCCGCCTGCACTGCGACAACCAGAGCGCAATCAGAATCGTGAATAAGCCTGGTTTCGACAACCGCACCAAGCACATCGCGCTGCAGTACTTCTTCGTCAAGGACGAAGTTGACAAGGGCAAGGTTGACCTAACCTACTGCCTGACGGGTGACATGGCAGCAGATTTCCTCACGAAGAAACTGCCGCACCAGCAGTACCAGCACTGCTTCGAACTCAGCGGGGTAGTCAAGCGGGTCAAGACCGGCTACGGCCATGAGTGAAGGGGGGTGTTACAAATTGTAACTCTTGAAACATCACTGTGCACTCTTTACCGCAGCAAGCGAAGCACTCACTACCGAGGCCGAAGTCGAAAGGGCGGAAGTAACACGAAGGGTCGCACAGTTACGAAAGCATCCGAACCGTCGCGCAGACAGCATCAGGCAGCAGCAGTGGTGATGATTTTGCCCGAACAGTTTCGTAACCATCTGGAGTCGCACGGTTGGATTCCGCTGTAATAAGGGAATGTACCCCTTAGAGAACATGGCTAGTTAGGTCGATTCAAATTCCTCCGTACTCTTATTTATATTTCTTGTACTTGCATATTTTAATTCATCTCAAGCATTTACATTCACTCTGCTATTGAGGTCAAGGGCCCCCCACCACTAAATCAGTAGTGTGCGAACCTTCTTGAGGTGATCTTGGTTACGATCAACTTCTGATTGCAACAACTATAACTCTTGCTCTGAGAATGCAGACGAACTGAATTCATTGTCTTACTGATTAGACAAAATAAAAACCACTGTCTTGAAAATCAGATGAAAACAATAATGGAGGTCTGAAAATCAAACCATCAGACCGATTCGGTGTGATCACCAGAGCCTCGCTTAAGATCGTTTTGAAGACTAAGGACCCTGAGTAGTGATGTATTAGCGGAAGCGTACTTATAAACTGATTGAACCACCTTCCACTAGCATGTGAGAACAAGATGAGGTAATAATAAGAAAGAGATACAAGCTCTTATATGATTACAATAAATACGAAAGGCTCAACTAACTCTAACTGCTGTTGCGGTTCGATACAGCGACGACTCGGGTAACTGCTCAATATCGAGTCAGTTATGTGTCCGTGCTGTCGCATTGCCTTCAGCGAGTCAAAGGTCTGTTGGGCTGAGAAAAACGGTTACGATCTTTTCAAGGCTAAGACCCTGAGTAGGAATGTTGTAACTGCGGAGGCATTTTAATGATCTGTTGAACCGACTTGCACTAGTGTGTGAGAGCAAGAGATTGATTATACCAAAGGGATACACATGATTACAAGGAATATGAAAGGGTGCAGCTAACTATTTTACTGTTGCTGTTGCGGTTTCATACAGCGACGACTCGGGCAACTGCTCAATACCGAGTCAGTTGTTTGTCCTTGCTGTCGCACTGCCTTCTGTCAAGTCAAACGTCGGCGACCTTTGACCTTCTCGTAACCTCCAGCTGTTACTTTCTGTCAACCTCCTCAGTTGACTCGCTTTTGCTTCGCTGTAATTTGCCTCGTTTGTAGTTCCATGTTTCGACACAACAGGAGCGTTTAATTAATTGTTTCCAACACTCTCCTTTGCTTTTGGAGTGTCGTGGCTGGTGACATAGCCTTGTCCAGTCAGCAACATACAGTACTCGAACTTCTGCTTTCCGAGCTTCTTGGCCAAATAATCAGCTGCCATTTCGGATGTGGGGCAGTAGGACATCTTGAGTCTCCCCTTCTCGATCTCGTCCTTCTCGAAGAAATCTCGCACGGTGATGTGCTTCGTTCGATTCGCGAACCCGCTCTTGTTCGCTATGCGGATTGTTGATTGGTTGTAACTGAGCCAGCTTCGCTACTTCCAGTAGTTCGCGGAGGTATAGTCCTTCCTTGGTAGCTGAGCAGAGAGCGATATATTCTGCTTCAGCTGAGGAGAGAGCAGTTAGCTCTTGCTTGCTTGACTGCCACGAGATGGGACCGATTTGCTCCAGTCGGTAGATGTAGCCGGTGTGTCAATGCCTATATTAGAGTCGGCAGCGTGGTCACCATCCATGTAACCGATTAGATTGGGCGTCATAGTTCCGGTTTTGTGGTAGGTCAGACCGATCGTCGAGGTGCTGACGAGGTAGTGGAGTGCGCGGTCAAGCTCCTCCATGTGCTCAGCTTCAGGCTTCTTGAGTACGATAGGTTCGGTTGGTAGGTAAAGGGTGCAAAGAGTATGCATCCTTGTTTTCGTTGGTAGTCGCGAATGCCGGCGGGTTTGAGCAGAGCGGTCCTTTCTTTGCGACTTCCGTCGGTGTAGCGGTATGGTTGGAGTTAGTCCGAAGCGCTTGGCGATGGTGTTGGCGTATTTTGCGGCGCCGAGGTAGATTGCGTTTTTCCCGTCATGTATGTTGAGTCCCATGTATTGTGTCACGGTAGATGAGACGGGAGCATGAGGTCCCACTGCAGCTCCCCTTTGAACCAGGTTGTGATACCGTCGGTTGAGCCGATGTAGAGCAAGTCGTCCACGTAGATGATGAGTAAGATGTAGTCGGCGCCCTTCGTAAGCCGGTACATTCCTTGGTCGTGTGGTAATTGGCGGAATCCGATGCGAATTAGCCGAGCGTGTAGGTACTGTTGCCAATGCCATATAAGGACTTTAGCAATTGACAGACTTGGTTGGGGTCTATATTAGAGCCATGTGGTTGCTCAACAAAAATCTCAGCATCGACGGGAGCGTAGAGAAAGGCGTTGGCGACGTCGATTTGTCGGAGCTTCTTCTGCTTCATGCCGGCTATCGC